CGCGCACACACACACACGCGCATTCTATAGATGGTAGGGATCTTATTTTTTTCTTTCACAATAAATTATCCAGCACCCACTGATCTGCGTTGTCACCTGTGCCTTTTATCAAGTTTCCACAAATTTGCGGTTCTCTTAAGAGGTCCTTGTTTCATTAAGCCTCTTGTCGACCTCTCTGTTAAAACGACACTGTCTTAGTTAGACTAGCTTTATAATGTAAGTTTTGACAGCTCTGTTGGGCATATCTTCTCACCCTTTCCGTTGTTTAAAACTATCATGGTTATTTGGCCCCAAAGCATTTTAGAATCACTGTCGATTCATGAAAAATCCTTTCAGAATTATTATTATTATGTGATTGCATTGAATTTACATATTAACTTGGGCAAAGTGACATCTTTTCAAATATTGAATTTTCCCTTTTATGGACATGCTATACCTCTATTTATTTAGGGTTCTTTTTATTACTTTTGTGTACAATTTTACAATATTCTCCACCTTGGTGTTATGTATCTCCGGTTATAGATATCTTTAATACTTCGTTTGTGGAATCTCTAGAAGTTGTTATTGCTGTTTTCAGTGGGGTTTGACTACAGTGTAAGGTTGTAGTTGAATCTGAACATCAATCTTATATCTAGAAAATTTACAAAACTCTTACTAGTGCAATTAGCACTAATAATTCTGATACCATTAATCTATCTGTCTAAAATTAGTTTTTAGCTTTCATGGTTGAAGAGTCAAACAGCTCGACAAGTTCTATACATTAAAACTGGAGTCTCCCTAACCTCCCAGCACTTTCCAACTCCCAGATGCAACCATTTTCCACTCTTTTAACTGATCATTTTAGCTTTTACTGCCAGCTCTCATGCCCATACTGTGACTTCTTGACTTCTAACTCTTAGGGACTTTTTAATCGACTTCCTACTGTGGAAGTTGGGGATATCATGTTCTGTTCCTCGTGACCTCATTCCACGTGTGCTCACTTTCTTTTCCACATCACTCTAACATGATTATGATTTTGGAGAACTTAATACTCAGTGTCTACGTTATAATGACTGTGAGATTGCCATTTACAGCTGAGGGTTATAACATTCCCAGCTTTGACTTATTTTCATCCTCATATGTGTGTTTCTGTAACCACCACCACGGTGAGGATGCAGAACATTCCAGGATGACAGAGGTCTTCCTTGCGTTACCCCTTTGCAGTGAAGTCCACCACCACCAAACTAAACCTCTGGCAAATGCCAATCAGTTCTCTCTATATACAC